CTTGAGTTGCCCTGTCGCTGCCAATCAATGAAATGTTCGAATTTGTCACAAATCGTTGAAACGAACCGAATTTATCACGCACGATGCGGGACGACCGTTTTGATCGTTTTCGATACTCACACGACGACCGTTTTGAAGAATTTTTCACGACTCTTCGTTGACAAATCCTACCCGACTGCGCCAGTTAAAATCACTTCCTTGGAAAGGAAGTTTTTAAAACAATTTTTATTTCTATTGATATGGATTTCAGCTTCAAGATACAACTGTTGGTTATTACAGGCTTGTGAGAATATATACTGAATTAATGCTGATGAGTGTACATGCTATCTGTGAAACTAAAGAACATTATGTACCTCGTAAGCATAATTAGATATTTCCTTATGCTTGGCTGCGAAATAGAATATCGTGAATTTGTTAAGTTGGCTAAATAGGATATCATACCTGGTGTCTTTATTTTAAAAATATAACATGCAAGAACCCCGATTTTGTTGCACACGGTCGATTCAAAATAGTTTCAAATGCTGGGCATGGTTTTACCTCTTTGAAAGAGTTCTACCACAGTAGAATTAAAAAATATATTTTCACAAACTAATAATTTGTTGTTTGCAGTCAACATAAGTCCACAATACAGAAAAATTTTGCTTCTATTCTATTAGCTGCGCGTTCTTTTGTTATGTTGCAAAATAAACAAGGCACCAGGAGATGCTTCAATCACAAAAGTCCTGACCTAAATGGCCACTTGTTAATAAATTAACCAATTTAAAACAATTTTTAAGATAAAACCTTTAAGCTAAAAAACTATGATGAATTATTCGTCCTTCCATTTGACTTTTTTTCGATCGTCACGTTTTTATCAAGAAACTTACAATAAATGGACTGTCCGCTGGATAAAACTTCGCATAAATAATTTTACTTGCAGCAAAATTGCATAACGCTAGGAAAGAAATTAATTTGGAATATTTTTAAATTGAGAGTTGGTAAAACGGCGCTATGTATAGGGATCAGTAACTTTTGTAACATAATAATTTGCTCTTACAATAAAAAATATATTATTTCTTCAATCGATTATTAACCAGACGTTTAAGAGTTCAGAAAAAACCCGCATTTATTTGTCATTAGAGGATAGCTTTTAATAAACTAATTCTTCCGGTATACATTTTAATTGCTCGGTTTACTTCCAAACCTGTCTAATAAAATTTGTGCTACTGGAGCCATACAAGCCTGTTTTAATGAGTGGAACATGACTAAAATGACATTTGGCTTCGAACAGTAAAAGACGCTAAAACTCAAGTAGTTGTGATATACTTATATTGTTGAATAGCCCTTACATACACAACATTTTACAGTGTTATTATTAAACATATGTAAGAGAATCCAATAAAACTTAATCCGCTCTACTTCAGCTTCTTCTTGGGGCGGAGATTGTTGGTGTGTCCACACTTGGTCTTACGGCAGTTGGTAGCACGTGGGTGCAGTCTTGCATAGCACTTACGGCAGATCATCTTGTCGCAATTGTACTTTTGCGCCAAAATACGCAGAGAAGGTTCAATAATACCTCCTCTCAATCTGAGCACCAAGTGAAGGGTGGATTCCTTCTGGATGTTGTAGTCGGATAGGGTACGTCCATCTTCCAACTGCTTACCAGCGAAGATCAAACGCTGCTGATCGGGAGGTATGCCTTCCTTGTCCTGAATTTTCGCTTTTACATTTTCGATGGTGTCTGATGGCTCGACCTCAAGGGTGATGGTCTTACCAGTGAGAGTTTTCACGAAAATTTGCATCGTGGCGTTTCTATAATAAATTTAAAACAAAAAGTTTCAGTCAAGGAGTGTTTGACATAACCTCTACAATCTTTAAAGCCAATTTTACAGACTACAAGAGTAAGTGATACCCAAATTTAATTCTGATTAAAATTTATACAGCCCCCAAATATGTCCTAACAGTTCCTGCATAAAAAATGTGTAACTTGATAATAGTTTTAGAGTAATTTCTTTTTACTCACCTTTAACGACAACGTGGGCCACAGCCTGCTTCAGAAAGAAAATGCCGGAATGACAGGCAAAGCGTCCAGTGCTACCAAGCGCTTTTTAATTATACTAGAATCAGTGTCGCCATCTAAATTTCCACCAATGCAAATGTGAAAATATAAAATAATCTAACAATACAGCATCTTTAATAAAAGGGGAGTAATTGCCTTAGCAATATAATCTTAATTAGGGGCTTTTCTGTCGCTTTTGAATTTTGATCACGATAATAAAAGAGTACTCACATTGTAGGGTGCTCATGTACTTTATGTCTGTCGCAGTTTCGCGTTCTTTTTAATTTTCCCTTAAAGTACAATTAAAATAAAGTAGTTTTAGTGACAAAAAATGCGTAGCGTCCATAAAATCATGCTAGAAAACAATAACAAACCAATTAAATATATGTATTTACGCCAAACTTAGTGAAACGTTGCCAGACTGCACATAAAGTTGTATGTAAATGGAATAGTATATTTTCGTGTAGGTATTATAAGCTTGAATTTGAAGATGCGTTTAATTTCGGTAGGGACAGATTTACTGTTCATATTTATAATTTTTCATTGAAATATAGAACAAAAAATTGAGTTCTAACTAAACTAATCCAATACTTAAAGCAATTAAACTATACCAAAAAAGTTTCCTAAGGGCATTATACACAGGGTGGTTTTTTAGTACGAGAGAGTCCATTATTTCCGTTGGTGTTGAACTTTCGACAAATAGTTTCATATAAAAGTTGTTGACGCACAAAGTGCGCACATTTAAAAAATATTTTATATGATACAGAGTGTCTCAGAAAAGCGAGGCAAGATCAAAGTGTATTTTTTTAAATAGAACTACCCATTTTTCATTAGCTCATGGAATGCAGCTTGAAGCGCTGCATATGCTCCGTAAATTGTTTCTTTCTTACTTGCGTATCTAAAAGTTCATTGTAGCAGCAAAAAAAAGCAATGTGGGCTTCAATCTCACTTTTTAACGCATTATAACTTTTGCTTTTCATATGGAAGTACCTGTAAATTAATACATCATTAGATAAAGAATTTACAAAGTTACAAATTTGCATTTACACTTTAAGCTGTGAAATCAACCGTTTCTAAATTATAAATTATTTTATTTAAAAATTTCAAAAAGTTGTTACATTTTGTAAGGTGGCATGAAAATCAGCCTTAGAAAAACAGAGATGGCAACATCACAGCCAAAAATTCCTTCAGTGACGTTGGTTTTGTGTATTTCCATTGCTTTGTGAAGAGTATTTTCCGAATAATTCTGGCCGAAAATTTCATTTTTTAAAAACGATTTTCAAATAAAAAGTGCTGGGAATGGGATTAACTACAATGTGGTGCTATGTACTTTAATTTATGTCTGTCGGCGTTCTTTTTAATATTCCCTTAAAGTACCTACAATAAAAATAAGGCAGTTTCAGTGGAAAATGCAGATCGTCCATAAACTTTCAAACTTTTGAAAATTTAGTTCAAACGACCCGGTTCCGGTACTTAAATCATTGAAAATGAGATTACCCAGTGTAGGTACTGTTAAAATCTTGTTTTAAGAACTAACAATAGATGATTCGACACAAAAAATGGGGCCTAAGATCAACTGCAATAAAGTTTTTGCAAAATTTTCGAACTTATTTTAAACCTCCATTGATTGCAGTTATGTTCCACACTTGTTAACAAGTGATAGAATTCTTCTTGTTTTGGGCCCCCTTGCGTGGAATCATAGATAAAGACAAGTGCATGGAATATTGCACGTGACAAGTCAGATCCAGAGGTGATTCGGAAATTAAAACTTGTTATTATTTGTTACTATGGAAACAATGCTGTATGTCTTATACTATTTTCCCTGGCTAACTTCGATTAATTAAATTGAAAAAGTATAAATTTGTCGCAAACACTTTATTTTCGAAAGAAACCCAACGATATATCATTTATATCACAGAAATCGTAATGAAATTCGGTAAAGCAATAATCAAGTATGGTTGCAAAAAGTGTCATATGTCAAAAACGACAGTTATTTTGGAGTCTTGTGTTATTTTAGTCTTATGCCATTTTGTTTGGAATTCAATTTCCTACAAGTTTTCTATTTAATGTTTTCCTGTCAAATGAATATCAACGTAACTGGGAGTAATTTAAAAATTTACCATAAATAAGTTTTTCCCATATAACTCTTGACAGCTGTCAAATTTTAGAAAAATAAAATTGGTTTCGAGTAGAGCATTCAAAACTACAATTCTTTGTCCATTTGACCTTCTTCGTAACTGCTCAAGTTCCGAAGATCCCTGTACTAGTCATCGAAAAAAAATTCGCCCTGTATATATATCCTTAGGCGACCTTTTTGGTTTAGGTTAATTGCTTTATGTATTGGATTAGTTTAATTAGAATCCAATTTTTTGTTCTATATTTCTATGAAAAATTATAAATAAGAACAGTGAATCTGTCCCGATCCAAATGAAACAAATATTAAAATTCAAGCTTAAAATACCTACACGAAATTATTCCACCCCGTCTTGGTTGCACCACCCTGTATACGACTATACGACACTGCACCTGCAAAATTATTCTCGTAGGTGCTCGTCAGCTACCTGAAGGATAAGAAACCCATGCACAAATGACCCCTGTGTACCATAAAGCCCACTAAATTATAATTTGAAAACAGAAAAAATAATATTAATATGTTTCCTTGTTTGGTGTTTGCTTCTCTTCCTCATTTCAGGTTTCCTCATTTTTATTTTGAGCTCACAAGTTCTCGGGCAACACTCTGTTCAAATGAGCCTTCATAGAAATAGATTCAATTATCGTTGGAAAACACATTTTTCCTTGACTGACTAAGAACAAGCAGTAGGTATTGCATCATTAGTCACTGATGCACAATAATTGTCGCTTTGGTGCTTTTCAGTTACATTATCTTGCAACTCATTTTACTTTGAATATGTTTTTTTTTGCGAGACAAAAGTGTTTCTTGTAGGCAAGCCCTGCACAACTATGAATTAATTCCAGGAACTCACTGGAACTTTATGCATCAACTGGTTGAAATGAAAGTAAAAAATAAAATAATTTATCTTTAATACCTCGTTAAACCCAAAACTCAGCGTAGATTATGTTTCTAAGCATTCTAATAGTACTTTCAGCAAATGGCCGAACAATATTTATTATTTGTTGTAGAATTTAGTGTGCTACAAGAGCTACTAAGAACAAGAACTGTGTTTGATCTTGTTTATGAACTGAAATAACACAAAGTAAAAGCAAATTAGTTGTTTATAGTGGATTTACCCGAAACTATGTCGTGAATAAAGTCACACATCTTCGACATACCTATATTGTTGATTTTATCCTGCACTAAACTTCACCGTGTAATCGGAAGCTAATCAAGTGTGTAAAATATGCTACATTACCAAGAAATTCAATTAAAAATGTTGAAACGTAATTTTTTAAACCATAAGAATTCAGTTCAATGTCTTTAAATTCGTTGCGCCTATATAAAATACAACTACATTGTGTGTTCAATTCTTAAGTGTGCTATTCTGCTGAAAGTGAACAAAGGATTTATCCAAAATGATGAGCCAGCTACTGCTTAAACTAATTTTTCTCATCGTGTGTATAGAGCTGGTTTTCTCAAAACCAAGTCCTTTCGATTTAGTTGCCGAAGAAACTCAGCAATTTGAACAGGGTAAGTTTGAACACATGCACTCAATGCCCATTAAAATTTTCAATAATTTATAACAACTTTTTATTTTTTTATCAAAAATTTGAACTGAGACGAGCTTCTCTTATAAAAGTACAGTCTGTGTGACACATTTTATCTGCCTTAAGGAGCTTTTTCATAATATTTTTAAATCTCTATATGTGATTTGTCTTTATAATGAATTACATATAACTAGATTGTAAAATCTTTTTAATTAAATTTATTGACGTAATCATCTTTCAATTCGTCAATTCGTGCCAAAGTTTAAAAGATCATTTGACTATTAGATTTAATTCATCATTATTTCGAATATTTGTATCATCATCAAATAAACTATAGTTTATTTTACCAACTAAATCCTTCAATCTAAACTTATCTGCGGTGAAATTATTGCGTGATTCTATTTCAAGTAGCTAAATATCGTTTTAAATTGTTCTAAAAAATGTGTACTTACTATTATGTATTTACATCAATTGTAATGATTTATATTTGCCTGTGTTTTCCTTGTACATGAGTTTACATTACAGCGTTGCTAGCAAGTCCATTATTGTTCTCATCTATACATGCGTACATATATATATATGTGTCATTCTAAAGTTTAGTATTTTATACATCATTATCACAAATGTTTATTTTTTATGCTGTAGTTTGATCGTATCTGTGATGCTAATTGATATCTATAAGATAGCGACAGAAACACAACAGTGTTTTACTTGGGCCCACCTTTCGGCCATACCTAAACCAACCATATACCATATTTAAATAAGAGAACCCAAAGTGTGATTATACGCCAGGACGGTATGTCCTACAAATCAAAAATTTCGCAAAGCACAGTAGGTGTGCCACAAGGGAGTATGCTCGGACCTATTTTGTTTATAGTCTTTATGAATGACATTAACAGCGAATGTCTTACCCCAAATTTTCTGCTAACGGAGTATGCAGATGATACAAACCTGCTAGTAGGAGGAAAAACAATCCCTAAACTCGTGGGAAATGCCACTACTTTGTTTACATCGGCAGAAAGATGGTTTGGAAAAAATGTCTTATGCTTAAATAAATAAAAAACAAACACATTACTGTTTAGAACCAAATTAAATAAAAATCAGAAACCAGACACCATTGTTGTTGAAGGGCTACAAATTGCAGTAGGTAGTAGCACAAAGTTTTTGGGGATTTATATTGATGAATTTTTAGACCGGTCTTGCCATATTGATTACCTTAGTAAGAAACTAAATAAAATCTGTTTTTGTATCCGAAATGTTTCAAGATAGCTGAATGAAACGGCAGGCAAGGCCCTGTATTTCGCAAACTTTGAAGGAACAATTAGGCAGGGAATACTTTTTTGGGCGAGTAGCTCGAGGACTCGAAATATATTTACAGTACAAAAACGTATACTAAGGACTATCTACGGAATGTCTCCTTTGCAGTCTTGTCAAGGGGTTTTTAAATCAAAGGGTGTTTTAACCGTGTACGGTCTGTACATTTTTGAGGCAATATTATGTGTTTTTAAGAGTATGTATTTACACGATAACAACGTTAACCAGGATCATAGCACCCATTTTGTATCCAACACACAGACTAACACTGTCTGAAAAGAGTCGGTACTATATGGGTCTAAAATTCTTTAATAAACTAGAAAATAACATTAAAAAAGTAAGAATTGAAAAACTGTTTAAGAATAAATTAAAACAGATGTTAATTGAGTTAGAGCCTTATAGTATCAGAGACTTATTAAATATGTAACAACAGTACCTTTTAGTATAATATGTCCTTTGTCAATTGTTTTTTAACGCCATTTCATTTTGTATTCTTTATACATGTGCATGTATCAGAATGTAATTTGAAATAAAGAAATAAATAAAAAAAAAACCTCAGGGCTCTAAAGAGAACAGAGTGGTTTCAGTATTAAATATAGTAAAAGCACCTATAACCTTTTTTAATAGTCACCAAACTAAAATCAAACATAAGGTAGTAAGGTTTTTGTCCTTTGTCCCTTGAAATATATATATACTTGGCTTGCAAAATATTTGTCTTTGATGAAAAGACGGCGGGTATAATAATAATCCAGTATAACGCATTTTCAAGCTAAAAAATCTGGCATTTTAACTTTGTACACCCCTTATATTGTTACTGTTGCTTATTCAGGATAAGAAAACCTTTCATATCTGCTAAATTGTTATACCTTGTAATAATTTGATGGTTGCGTTAGATTTGGTGAGTCACTACAACATTGTATAGCGATAATCTAATAAGGATCTTTCATCCAATGACAACGAATTGCTCAACTAATTAAATATTAACATTTTTAACAATAATATTATTTATATATACAGGGTTATTCACGCTATACGGCACGGACGTTTGCGGCTAGCCCGTTTGTTTTTTGCAAACTATTATTTGGTGAATCCACAGACGCCTATCGGGTGCACATTTTAAAAATATTTTTGTAATGTACAGAGTGTTCCAAAAGCCCTAAAAGTATCAAAGTTGTGTTTTTCTAAATGATATACCCTATATATTATTGCATTTTTCAATTCTCTGAGCAAAATAAGTGTTTGTTTTAATAAGATTTATAATGTCTAAATCTGAAGGTTTTTTAAATAATTCGAATTTTATCAAAATCTAACATTATTTTCATGTGTCAAATACTTTAGAATTATTTAAGTTATGTAAACGTAATTCGTAGTGTAGTGTAACAAGAAATCATATTTTATATCCCAATGATA